TGACGTATGATATCGTTAGATTTTCGTTTGCACATTTCGAAACAAGTCGAGTTTTCGTTTGCACCCCTCTAGAAAAAAAGTTACTTAACATTGAAATTTGGGGGGGCTAACTTTACACTTGCCGAAACCTAGGTTAAAATTGCAGGACAAAATTTTCTGACGCATAATATCGTTAGATTTTCGTTTGCACATTCCGAAACAATTCGAGTTTTTATTTGCACACCTCTAGAAAAAAAGATATTTAACATTGAAATTTTGGGGAGGCTAACTACACACTTGCCGAAACCTAAGTTAAAATTGCAGGAAAAAATTTTCTGACGCATGATATCGTTAGATTTTCGTTTTGAAACAAGTCACATTTTGAACACATTTTGAAACAAGTCGAGTTTTCGTTTGCACACCTCTAGAAAAAGTTATTCAACATTGAAATTTTGAGGGGCTAACTTCACACTTGGCGAAACCTAAAACTCCACCGGGCGTCCTAACCGCGTTCATTGACGAGTGCCTCCCAGGAACGCCAGCAGGCACGACTTCTGGGTGGCACTCTGAGCCAGCTGACTTTTCTGTCCGCTCCATCCCCAATTCCCAAGCGGGAACCTTTATACCTTTCTAACTGGCGACGGATGTTACGCCACACATCCGCCGCCACTACAGAAGTGTCCCTGTAACCATCCCCCCCCCCTTCCCGGCCGGCCATCACCGGCGATCCTGCTCTCATCTCCTCCTCTATCTGCTACTGTTCTTCCAGTTACCTTCCCGACACTTGGCGAAACCTAGGTTAAAGTTGCAGGAAAAAATTTTCTGACGTATGTGTTACGTCGGGATGTTACGTCCTGGTAGAGAACTCAACACGACGTAAGGCCTCGATCGTACTAGCAGGTCGAGTTACGAGTCAGCGACCAGAAGGATCGCTTTACACGTGTATCGACGTACGAGTGGTCCTTTTTCGATCAGAGAACTGAATCTCTTTATCGCGGACGGACCGAGAGCGGATAAGAGAAATGAAGGAGGAAAAGGGAAGGATTCGAAAAGAAATTGTGATATAATTTGAATTAGAATTTAGATAATTCTGGACGATTACATTTATTTTCCTTGCGGGGTTGTTACAGTTTTTATTAACTACTGGCACGAAGACAAAGTACGCGTGTGTGTGTATGTTTGTGTGTGTGTGTGTGTGTGTATGTGTGTGTGTGTGTGGACTTCTGGGTGAGGCTGAGCATTAATGCACAGGATCATTGGGAGGTGAAGAGGGTGAAAAGTAGGTCGTGGGGGAAGATGGAGGAATAGGTGGAGATGCTGGACGGGGAGGCAGATTTTGAGGAAAAAAGGAAAACCGCCAAGTGGGGTGGGAAGGGTGGTAGGTTTTTTACTGATCCAGGAGTCTAGGTAGCGACCTGTGCGTAATCCGGAACAAATACTGTACGCGGGAGAGAGAGAAGGAGAGAGAGAGAGAGAGAGAGAGAGAGAGAGAGAGAGAAGCAACTCCAGGATGT